TATATATATATATTTATGAAATTTAATTCTAACTTTAGCCATGTAATAATCACTGTCGAGCAGCTAGTTGATTATTGGAGAGATACAATTGGTACAGAGACAATCGCGATGTTCAAGAATATATGATACCTTTCATTATATTGTAACGATGGTATAGAACCCTTACGTTACATCTAAATAAATTTAAATTTTCTTATCATTGTGTAATGATAAGTACATACTTTTAGTAATCCTCTATTGAAAGAAATAACACGAGTATGTAGACGAATATTTACAATAAGCGAAAAAGAAATGAGTAAAATTTTTTAATGAATCACATCTTATTGAGAAGTGAACGAACGATGTCCATCGATTCACAGATATCGATAAACAATAAACGATATTAATAAAGGACGCAAGAGAATGGAATTAATTCTTTAAAGAATTGATTAATTTATTCTTTAAATAATGTAAAGTTATCATTTCAGACATTATATTAAAAATGAGATTTCAATCAGACTATATCGCTTGCTAGAAGGCACCAAATTATCAGATAATCACTGAATGCAAAAAATGAACAACTATTACTATTTATAACATATTATATAGGACCGTATATATGATAACATAAACTATAGAAATCAAAGTCTTAAACGATCTAGTTGAGTCTTAAATACTTATATGATTCTTGTATGAATTTATATACTACGTATGTAGTCCCTAGAAATACGAAACGATTTTTCACGGCCGAAATAATTTTTCAGTCTTGAAAACGCTAACCCTACTAAACTACCGCAGATGCGAATAAGCATCAAATATTTGTTAAATTGCTAGTCAATTTAACTCGTGATATTACTGCGGTATTTTAGTAGAGTTAGCGTTCTCAAGAAAATCATTTCGGTGTTTCGCGTTTCTAGGGACTATATATGTAGTATATAAATTCACACAAAAATCATACAAGCGTTTAAGATCCAGCTAAATCGTTTAAGGCTTTGATTTTTATAGTTGGTTTCACTGTTTATACTGTAATAGTATCATTCGCATTTATCCTGTATCCATAATTATAATTCTCTATTCATCCCTATATACGATTTCATCTTGAGAAAATATCAGAAAGAGATCCTAAAAAGTAGCTTAAAAGTTTCTACGAGAAGTCTGTCCATAAAAGATATCTCAATAAGATGCATCTTAGTAAGATATTTCATCACATTGGATCTTTTCATAATGAAATTGTCGATAATTGTTTACTTTCAAAATTATATAATTTTCATGTAACTGATAAAATTAAAGAATCAATAATTGCTGTACTCACTGGTTTTTTTTTGCACACGTCCAAACAGTAGAATTATATCTTTCTCGCTCATTGAATAGTTGGCCTACATATCCATTTTGTTTCTTTCTTTAGCATGATATAGAATCGAGCGAATGGGACAGAGTTTGAAATGAAAGAAACGGCTATGTTTATTACAGGGTTAGTGTAATCAAATTAATGTGTGGCACATTGGACTCGCGATGGACCTCCTTCGTCCTCTTCATACGCTTGTCTCGTGTCTCTCCGCCTTTGCTCCTGCTCAGGATCCAAGTCAGTAAGTAAACACTCCTCGGCACCGTCTGGAATTATAACCTCTTCCCTCGGTGGCAGACATTGTTCCAATGATGGAATAAGCGATGGGTCTATGCTCTTCGGGAAATTGACTATAAATTGTATTATAAGTCTGCCGTGTGTAAATGGATCTTTATAAATCGGCATGCCCTCGTTCAAGATGCATTTCAAGTCACCGTGTTTCGTCACAGTGCCGGGAAGTGAAGTTATCACTAGATCTCTACCATCCAAAGTACGAATAACTTTCTGGAATCCACATAATGCCTCTACGAGTTCTAGTTGCATTCGCATAATCAAATCATTTCTTGAACGCCTATAATTTAATTGATCGCAGCGTATTAGTAAGTTAAATAACTAGCTTCCTAATAAATATTCCATTAAAATACTACTAACTTGAATACATCATGATCTTTTTCTTCAAGAAGAATAACTATATCGCCAGGCTCCAAGTCTGGTTCTTGATCACCTTCACCACTGAAAGTTATCTTTTGACCATCAACCATTCCTGGATCAACGTGAACTTCAAGTATCTTTCTGTCTCTAATAGTCTTTCTTCCATTGCAATATTTGCAACGATCACGGGGATTAATACGTTCCCCTTGTCCTTTGCAATCTGCACACATGGTTTGTAAATGTTGTAACATTCCCGGACCTAACTGCTGGATTTGTACTTGCAAGCCGGAACCATGACACGTCGAACATTGTTCAACAGAACCTTTCTTTCCACCAACACCTAATCGAAAAACGACAAATATATCATATTCTCCGTGTCTACACAGATATAGATCTTTTTAAATTACAATCTCCATACAACCGTTACCTTCACATTTCTCACAAATAACATTCTTTTGCAGAGCCAGTTTACGCACAGTTCCTTTGTAAAGTTCCTCGAGGGAAACTGATAATTGATGCATTACATCTTGACCTCTGCGTTCTCTCCTCCTCGCTCCTCGTCCACCAAATCCTCCTCCAAAGAACATATCAAAGATATCCATAGGAGAAGAGAAGCCACTGCCACCCATGCCACCTTCTTTCAAAGCCTGCTCACCACCTTGATCATAGATACGCTTCTTCTCTGGATTTGATAATACTTCGTACGCTTGAGAAATTTGTTTAAACTAAAACATATATTTTATAATATTATATTATATTATGTTTTATTACATATAAACTAATCAATAAGTATTTTAAATGATAAGATTCATACAAACCTTTTCTCCTTCATTAGGATTTTTATCAGGATGATACTTTAAAGCGAGCTTTCTATAGGCCTTCTTCAAATCTTCCTGCGAGCATCCAGGCTTCACGCCCAATACATCATAAAATGTAGTTTCCTTAACCATTTTCACAATGTGTTAAGTAATTAGGGTTATATTAAATCACTCTGGCTGCTGTAAACAAGAAAAAATACTATAACAAACGCTTTAATTTTTTTATATCGCTATTAAATAGGTCTATTCTTTGTCATTGCACTGAACTGTACTAAAATTTTTTATATCTTGTTTGACACCAAACTTTTGAATACATATTTTTCTTTTTTAAATGGATACATTTAATCTGCTAATAAAATAACATAAGAAAATTGAAGAAACATTGAATATACAGCTACAAGAATAGACCTGATGATATAATGCACAAAAAATTTTATCAAAATGTTACTGTCGATAAAACGACATCAGAGAATTCGAGGAAAAATAAATTCATTATATTGGTAAACTAAACAGCTCGTGACGTTACAACATATATGCGCATTGCAAGATCAAAAAGATAGACTAGTTCAAATCATAATTAATTCATAATTTTAAATGAAGAATATATCGTTTTTCTAGTGTTACATAATTGAATCTAGGTTCATAAATTTCAGTATGGTCAGATTTGATCAGATACATGTAACATAATAAATACATGTAACTTTGAGTCATTTTTATAAATATGTAAATTAATAGACAAGTTCAAGTTATATAAGATACAATGAATAACAAAAGAGCATTTAGCACCAGTAGTCCAAATGAGAGAACTTCCGGCTTAATGACCTCGAGTTTCAAGTTGTAGTTAATAGTGAAAATGGCAAAACTGAAAACAGGAAAGTCTTGTTGAAGCATAAATGCCCAATTGTACAAATACTTGTTTCTTCCTCCTTTTTCTCATTTTTACCACAACTGATTTCAAGTTTCGTAACGCATGCAGACATTTTTTCACGCAATTTTTTTACATGTGTTTGTAGAGGTAAAAGTCGTGCGCTCGCTCGTGAACTCAAAGAATATAAATTAATGTAAAATACCCATGCGGAATTCATGCGAATTTCAAAATGGCGTCTACAGTAGGACTGGGAGTATACGATTGAATAGACCAGCGAGCGGAGTATTTCAAAAGGCGAGGCGCGTGCTGTGGACGCTTCCCGAACAAAGACCGCCTCTCCGAGCTTTCTAGAGCCTTCCATAGATATTACCGAGCACGCGGGTTCCCAAGTCGATCGAATGACAAAATCGATGTAACGAAGAATTTGCCAGATCGCTCGTGACGAATTTTTACGCTCGACGCACGTATTTACGCTATCACGAGAAAAACACATTTTCCTCGTGATAAACGACTCTACTTTTTCTTTTTTTTTTCCCCTATCTCAATCTCCTTTTCTTAGCAGTAGCCGATGCCTCGGTGAATCGTTAATCGACACGAGTCGTCGGGCAAGCGTGTCCGCAGACTTGGTAGCCAGGTTACTGGCTTCCATCTTTCTTTTCAAGCTCGTTGTTGCAACGAGAGAGTAGGTACATACTTGCCTGGCGATCAGTTCAATTCCCGCTTCGTAACGTTCATCAATGTGCAATCGTGTGAAATATATCGCCGCGCAACCTTCGACCGTCCGCCAAGCCAAGGCGCTCCTGCCCCCCCCACGACCCTTCGCTGGTTTCGATGACCGTTACGCGGAGCTAAGCCAGGAAAAACCGCGATGAAATTCCGAATTCCCGACGTGGACAATGATTCCGGAAAATTTTATATAAATGTCTACGCCTTACGCGAGCACGCTAATCCCCGATTACACGTTTCTCAGGAAGAGAGAAAGAGAGGACGAATATCGCGAGCGGACCAACCGATCGATCGATCGCGCGACTTGGGCTGTCCGTTCAGTTCGTTGTTCACTCCCGGTCCACGCCGTCAGATCGGCTACGGCGAATGGATCGTCTTCCCTGACGACAAGATTACGAGAGCGAAGAGTCCCGCGATTCGCGAGAGTTACTTACCTGCGTAAACGACGAGGAGTGTAGAGTCGCTGTAGAGAATGACCGCGCACGTTTCGTGCGACGCCCGTTCTACCTTCGCGTCCGTGTTACAACGTTTCACGTACGAAACTGAGCCCGGATTCCGTGCGACTCCGTAATCCACCGTAGTCCGTGCGCCCACGTCGCCTAACGATATTGCCGCCTGCAGTGTATGTTCTCGAAACTTCCTAGGGAACGGCAGTGGTCAACGTCGGTCGTCGAGCCGACGGCTGAGCGCCAATCAGCTGCCGACGTTGGCGGAAGCGCTACGCGCACAGCGTCGGTCTCTTTCGAAAGTTCCCAGTTCCTTCACAAACTCGCGCGTCGATCATGCAGGTTTTTTTTCGGTCGATATGACACTTTCTCTTTAAAAAATTATTTATAGATATAAAAAATATCTCGTGTTTTCTTCTGTTTTGTTTGTTACAAATTTCACACCACAGATTTCCATGCTTTTGTCTTTACTTTTTTTCTTTTGGAGCCTTTTTTTATTATTCTCGCTGTACTAATTCAAAGTACAGAAGTACTGCTTTTGGGATAATTTATTTTACAAGTTAAGATTTTTTAAAGTTATTAAGAGAGTTTACTTACAAATTTTAACTGTCAAATTTTAATACGATTTAATATTTTGAACTGTTTAAACGTAGTAACGTCAAACTTGAAAATTAAATAAAGGATTTTCAATTATTTTTAATCGATAATGCCAGTCGTAAATATAAACAATACAGTATTTTCTAATGTAAAATACACGCGAATATCCGGATACCGATGCTGTCGTGCAATCTTTCGTAGATGGCGGTGCATGTTTCCGAACGTCCCTTTTTCCAAGTGGTACGCTAAACAACGATAATTGACCAAGATGGTATGTAACTTGTATCGAAAAATTCTATAGTAATCATCCAACGAAACGTACAACATTCAATTAAATATTTAACAATAGCATCTAACAAAATACGCGTTATGTATATCATGTTCAGAAAGTATCAATTATAGATACAGTAAAGTCAATCAAACATGACGTGACATAACCTCAATTGAGAAATACGTGTTTGTAATTGTTTGCGACCATTTGTGATGTTTTATGAGATAATAGATCATAAAATTAATTGAAGTTTGTTTTATCTGTCTTTACCAATTTATAGTATTCGTCTATTTCGATACTCTAAAGATTTCTTATAAGTAATCTGATCTAACCTATAAGTAAAGAAATGTATTTTGATTTTTGCTTACAGACGGAAGGTACAGCTACCATCAGGACGAGAAAGTTTATGACCAATCGACTTTTATGCCGAAAACAAATGGTGAGTGTGAGATTCGAGTATCCATTATTTCAATTCATTATCCCAGATGAGAATTTATACAATTTATTTTGATTGTAGGTCGTAGATGTTATTCATCCTGGCCAACCCTCAGTTCGTAAAACCGAGATTCGAGAGAAATTAGCCAAGATGTATAAAGTGACTCCAGATGTTGTCTTTGTGTTTGGCTTTCAAACTAATTTTGGTGGTGGTAAATCTACTGGATTTGCACTTATCTATGACACCTTGGATTTTGCAAAGAAATTTGAACCTAAATATAGGTTAGCAAGGCATGGTCTCTTTGAAAAACAAAAACAAACGAGAAAACAACGTAAAGAACGCAAGAACAGAATGAAGAAAGTTAGGGGTACTAAAAAGAGTAAAGTTGGAGCAGCGTCTAAAAAGGTAGGCAAAATAATATATTTCGAATATTTTTCTTCCATAAACATTTCTTACTCTATTACTCTAACATTAATGTTATAATATTACAAAAAATTTCTTTATTCTCTTAATGCTTTTCAGTATCAAATATCTTATGCATGTTTCTTTCTTTTTTTGATCACATGGGCTTTAATCTCTTATATCAATATTATAATTGTCTTTAAATTGTATGTTCTATCCGATGGTGTAATTTTTTCTTTGTTTTCATTCAATTAATTGATTATATTAATGCACTATTCTATTTAATAAAATCAGTTTGTATATATTGGAAGTTCTTACAGCAATTTAAATTCTTAATATTATTAAATAGATAATTTTAAAGAAACATGATAAATGTTTATATATGTTAAAAAGTTAGATTCAGTAGATTTGTAAAATTTGATTGGTTTAACTTTTCTCACACAGTACAATAGTTGTGTGACATGTTTTACTTATGAGAGAATAATGAAAAATAAAAATGAAAAATATTAAATATTTTTTTTTATTGATAACATAATATTCATGGGCAATTCAGAAATAAATTTTCCTTTGGTTTGATGTCTATTATGCATGCTACGGTGGTATACGCTTTTTATTTACATTCTAGGGAAGGAAATAGAGAAATGATCATCATTTGTACTACAGACTTCTGGAGGAGCAATTTCTTATTGCTTAATCAGGGTCAGCATGCAAATCTTTTAAGTTTCATACTTTTGTTCTGTATGAGCTATTTTTTTTATTCTTAACAGCATAAATACATGTTATATTTTTACGATTTATTTATTATTTTATTAATCATGTAATTCTAATATTCCAGTAGTTTGTTAATACATAGTAGTATAAAAATATAATATTTTATTTCCACGATATGAAAATACAATAATCTTACATGCACTATTATATTTTCATGTCATACAATAAGTATCTGTGAGGATGTAGAGTATAGATTTAGAAACTGTATAATTAGGTATAAGACTTAATTATTTATATTTGCATTTTGCTGCGTAATAATTTAATTCTGAACTCACACTAACATATTATCTGTATCACTGCAATTAAAATTAAAATTAAACTTTTACTATAGTAATCAAATTGTTTTAAAAGTAATTACTAAATTAGATTACATCTTTCAAAAAAAAAAAAAAGAAATTAAACTTGTGAGTTTATAATTAACTTTCCCTTGCTCAAAAATTTCAATGAATCACAAATATATTAACAAAATAACAAACAATTTTATTTTATTTTAAAGTTTATTCTGTGTTACATTTGCATTTTATATTAATATAAAATTAAGTATGCACGAAAATTGCTAAGGTTTAAACAATTTTGTGTGAAAATTGAATATACGTGAATTGAATTTTTTATGCATATATTTTTTATATTTAACTAATACACTTGAGGGAAAACATGCTTTATATATTAATTACAGATATGTAAATGTATGTGTGCTATCCTATTGCTATAACTATTTGTATTAAAATTGGTTATGTGCATGTTAAAAAGTTGATTTTAAATAAAAAAAAAAGATATATTATTTTTTAATACATACACATTTTTTTTCTTACAGTAAAAGAAGCCATCTTGAAGACCACACAATCATCGACGTAAAAGTTATTATATTTTACTATGGAATAGCGCCGGAATTATAATAAATTTTACGGAATAAACGTGTATTCTTCTTGATGAAAACCTGTTTATCACATTTTTCTTGACATCTTGTAACAATGCCTTGTTAAAAAATTTATTATATTGAATTAATGCGCTATTATTTTTTTTGACTTTTTAATTTTCAGTATATTAATATTTTTATATCTAATCAATATGTATTTACAACTTACATACTTAAAACTTTATTAAAAACCATTGAAGATATATACCTGAATTTTTTTATGATATACAATCTTTAAAACGTTATAACTTCGGCAGATGCTGGACGAGGTTTCTTTGTGGTACGTTTATTAACGGTTTCATTATCTTCTACTCGCTTGTTATGGAAAGGTAAAATTTGTTCGGTGGATGTTTCGGGTGAAACATTGATAGTAGTAGTAGTAGTAATTAATTCCTTAGAAGACGTATTGTCTGCTTCATTAGAAACTGCAGATTCGATAGATGTTTCGATCGATTTGATAGAAGTTAGATCAGTGGATGATGTCGATGTGACAGAAAACATAGTAGTATCAACTGACGAAACAATTGATTCGGTAATTGACTCGATAGATGTAGAATCAATAGGTGCTGCAACCGGTACACTATTCATTACAACAGATTCACTGGAAGTTATCATTTCTTCACTTGATGAATCAACTTCTATATTCGGCTCTATAGAAGTTATTTGGGTAGTAAGTGGAATCGATTCGGTAGAAGTCACGATGGCCTCGGTGGTTGCAGTTGATTCAGTAAAAGTTAAATCTGATTGCGTTTGAGTAACAGTTTGGGTTGTATGTTGCCTCGATGTAGTCAATTCGATCTTTGGTGTAATCGTTGGAGGTTGTGTAGTTTTCGGAATTTCTGTTGGAAGTTTACTGAAATCAGGTGTCCAGTCGGTCCTAAATATAGGAGGCATAACGTCCCATTCATCCGAATCACTGTCTCCGTAGTCATTGCCTGTAATTTTCCGGATGATGTACCAGTTACCAATCCGGACGCCCCAATCTCGTTTTGGGTCGAACGATAGGCTAGCTATTAGTACGAAAAAATTGACAAAATACGAAAGTTAAATCTGAGTCGTCTAGAAGTTGTTTAGAAGGATGCAATCTCGTGGAAACTTTTGAAAAATATACGTGGTATTATACGCTGTAATCCTAATTGTATCTCTCATACAACATTCGCGAGTGACGCATCACGTAAAACGTCGAAATCGTTCAATTATGTTCCGTAGCGAAGCATAAACACGTGATTTGACATCCAACGCGAGTTTTGCTATGAGACAAAGAATTGAAGAAAAATTTTATGGATACTGATTCTTAAGTTTCATGTTATTGAATTTTGCTTACACAAATCTAAGAACAAGCCTGGGTAACTCGATATTCGACTCTCTAAGGTCTTATCAATATTCAAAATATCCTGTGGTGATAAGTTCGGAGTTGGACTATCTTTACCAAACCATTCACGCCATTTTCCCACAATTCGGTCCTTGATCATTTTAAACCAATCTCGTATTGTTTCTCCAAATCCAGTTGATCGACCTGTTCCATCTACGACAAATGTTTGCGTTCAGCAGGATATTAAAAATTTATAGGACTTGTAACAGGATTGGTCACTAGGCACACAATTGAGTAGTACAATTTAACTGCAATCTTATTAAATTCTTTTTTAATTTATATAATTTTGTAAATTTGGAATAAATCATGGCGTAAATCAGGAATCTGAACATTTAATCATTGATATACTTATTGATGTTATATCATAGATATCTATCTTTGCTTAAAGATATTGAATTAAATTTCATTTAAATTTATAAAACAATTTGGATACTAGGTGCTTTCCAGCAAGCGCCACAGACGACACAATGTAACACCACTTGCTGGAAGACACACTAACATTTCCATTTCTTTTCGCACGAAACTGGAAACCGTGACACTATATTCTTTTTTTTTTCTCTCTTGAATCGGGACAACTATTCATTTCAAGAACTTGAGAAACTGAAATATGTGTTTAATTCAACTATAATATCGATTATTTCAATGCACTTCATTATCCTCTACACTATAGGACGTAATTAATTTAGCACTTATAAATAACTACAATATACACCACCTCTATCGAAAATCGGTGTCGGCGTAGCGAGTTGACAGGTAAGGAGCAGCAGTAAGATACCCGAAAGTGGTCGCATTTTTGCAATCGGACAAACAACATCACTCTGCGTGCGGGTATAGAAGCGCGTGCCGTTTTATATATCCTTCGGCGGAAGCGCATAGCATGACGATCTCGTTAGTGCCACAATTTTATCGAGAAATCAAGCTAAGCCTGCATGCGCTAACGAAAACAGCATCGGCCTCGTTGCATTCGTTCCGATCTGTTCCGATCTCATCTCTCAATCGGTTAATATCATCGTCATTTTGTACAATACATACATAACTTACAACAAGAGAATCCGAATCTCGTTATGCACAGCAAGATGGCTAGTCACTTATTCCGCGAACCTACGACATCACGCTATTGTGCTGTGTTACGTATGAACGCAAATTACATACGTTTATCCGTGATTACCCATGTGGACTGAGTTGGCTGGTCGGTCTAAAACGGGCTATCAATTGATTACCCATTTGCACACTATTAATTCACGATTTATATAATTTTCTACTATTACGCTTGTCCGCACTTCTAATATCAGAATTATTAGAAAGAAATTTCTAATAATCTCCTAATTTCGTTTGACTGTTCGTTTTCTTTAAATTTTTGTTATCAGGGCAAATGACAAATGATGCTTAGGGTTCTAATAAGGATACCGTTGGAAAATGAGAATATATTACATATACTTTTTTTACAATAATTGCATTGCAGTAACTTCAGATTCAGATCAACTTAGAAAAACTTTTGTAAACAATCTACCAACACCTAAGATGAATCTTTCCCCAGTAAAAAAAAAATGCATTCCTTCCGTAAAATGAGAACATGTTTAGTAGAACATCAGTTGATGCAAGATTTAATGGGAATCGAGTGCTTTCCAGTGGTCTAGAATGAATTATTAGATATTTTCGCGATCGACTGTAAACGAACATGACAATGGAAACTATTATTGTCCATATTATTATAAATTTTGCTAACGTATTATTTGGCATCGAGTGCCGTGTAGGTAAAGACACGTGAGAACAGTTTTCCCAATCGTGATATATATATATGTATCAATCAAATAAGGGATTTTCGCAACAGAATGAATATCTGCCGTTAGACCATCACCCAAGTTTCCGAGTTTTCAGGTATTCAGTCCTAATAGGACTTGTAATTATGACATAGTTATAAGTGAACCGTCATAAAATTAATCATAGCCGAAATAAAACAAGACTTGGTCTGTCACGTGCCAGGTAAAAATGGACTCGTCCAGAATTGGGTTACATATTCACGTCTCTCCCGTCATCTTTCGATCCTATATCCCTTAAGTTCGGTCCTACGAACGTTTGATACTTGATCGCACGCATTATTTTTGTGCTTCAACAATTCTTACTGTGCGCATGAGTCTACCGTAAAGAGAACGGACGCTGAGGTTACACGACAGTCTGCTCTGGATGTTGACGAAGTCGGACTACGTTACATGACGAGCATACGAAATCGACTGTGTCTACTCGAAATCTCAGGTAAATGAACGTTTTTAACAATAATCATCGATAACGATGGATATCTCATCGCCACGATATTGAGTCGCGTAATAGATGTAAATTATATGCCTATATTACACGTAATTTAGGAGTCCCAAGTTTCGTACAGAGACGACGTATACGTAGACATGTGTGCGTTGGGTTATGTCACGTATAACGGATTTTCAATACATAGATCGTATTATATGGGAATCTTCCCGTTGGGCGAAACTAGATATAGGCGTGTACAAGTAATACGTAACCGAAATCGAGATGGGACGTAAAATTCGACGAGAATTGCCTTATCTCCAAACTTGGACTCGTCCAGGGTTCTCGACTATTCTCGACTATTCTCAAGTCTACACCGTCCAATCGCGTAATAGTACGCAGTGACGGAATGGTAATCGCAAAAACCTATTACTTAATTATATTTGACAAAAAATTTTTAGATAAAATATTTTTTTTTTCAAAGTATAGCAAAATGTATTGTCGAACGTTTATCAATTACAAAACGTAAAACAATATATCATGGAAAATTTGAGAACATTAAAATTCACATAGTTTGCCCAGATTTATAAGATATATAAGGTCTGTGTTCACGAGTCCTCAGTCCGATCAATATCCTTAGTTTTGTTCCCAATAATATCGAAGTATAGTACAACAGCGAACAATCGGAAGTGTATTGTATTTTGATATTTTCAGTAATTTTTCAAAATAATTCTATAATTGTATCAAAATAATCCTATATAATTGAACATAAGAATTTATACGTATAATTTATACGTATAATTTAACGGATTAATCTAATTTGAACGTTAAAGTAAATTGATAAACAAATTTTAATTTACCATTATGTTAAATAAATTAAATGGAAAGTCAATAACATTTGATTAAGGAACATTCCTTTAATAACGCCAGTCGGATTGAATTCTCAGCTGCTCTTGGAAACCTTAGTAAGTACTAGGATATGCTTAGTGTATACTGGGATATTCTAATTATATAAACAAATAAAGAGATTTATGAGATCGGATCATATTTTTGTTGACCCTCATTGACTTTCATTGCGATATCTCTTTTTTATGAGAGATATCGATATTTGGAAACTGACGATTTAATTCGTACGTTAAATACTTTGACTAGTCGTACAATTCTAATTTTAATAACAAACAACGTTCATTCTGATCGTTCCTAATAGAAATTTCTTCGGAAATTTCCGTTGAAATTACATCTTGCAAAGTTTATATACCAATTTGATACTTGACTTTTGGGAATTGGGTTAATGCGTGTTTCGATCGAGATGTAAGATTGTCGTGTTTTTAGGAGAAAACCCTTTTCCCTTCTGCTATTCCCAATTAAAGATAGAATTAGACGATGCTCGATTTCTTGAATGATAAGTATGCATGCAATCATGCCTGCTCTGATGTATGCTAGAATTAGAATTCGTTTCTTACATCAAGCGCTACATGCTGATCAATGCTTGATATATATTATAGATTCCTAAGTCTGTATATTTTGTTTATTACGTAATATTACGCAATATGATGCAATACCCATGATATCGTGATATGATTGAATTGGAAGAATTTTCAGAGAATATCGATTCGTTTGTTTGAGATTAGTCTTTATAACTGATGATTACTGATGGAACACGCCAAGTAACGATTGTTTTTATTAATATTGTTAATACGTATCGCTAAATTCGTTTGTTTTAGTTATACTCTTATTTACACCTCTCGCCTGTATCTTCTCCTATTCTCTAAAGTTTGATTTTATAATTAATATTGTGTAGGCATAAAATACGAACGAAAGTACATCGAAGTAAACAGTCCCAGTTGGTTCCCATCAGTACCCATCGGACTAGTGCCACCTATCCAGCACTGGGATCAGTCCGAATCATTTCGATAGTGGTCGAGCTGGCTGGGTCGGGTTGAGAAGGCTCAGCACAAACACGTCTCTTCTATCGAATAAGGATAGGCGAACTGAGAAGACATATACGAGGAAAGGAGTCGACAATAAAGGGTCGTAACGCATCGAAAAGAGAGGGACTATCGTCGTAGCGATCATGTGGAATGGCGCCGAGAAAGAGACATGCAGTGATGCGATAGCGGTAGAATCTAAGAAAGATGCCGAGATTGCCGAGAATCGCTCAGCCAGTGACCAACAGTTCGCGAGCAACAACATCAACGTTCCCGTTTCGGAAGGGATTCAAGTACGATCTGTTTTCCCGCAGATTGCATCGTTCGCATCCTGTCCTAGGATGGCTGACGATACCGTGACCATCCCCGGGGACACGAATGAAACAACAATATTGATACCGCCTCCAAATGTCGCCGAATTCCAGATTGAATGCAAGACAGAACCGGGCACTGAATTGGGCAACTCGATCGACGACCCATTGGTATTTGTAAGTGTGGGAATATATGAGTTTGCTCCGTCAATCATGTCACTTATGTATATATAATGTCGAAATGCTCATTATTTAAATTTTAGGAAGATTCGTTTTCTGCCCCTTTGAAAAAGATATTGAAAAATGCTATTGTTTCGTTAACAATTATTTTACCGCGCTTTTCATGTTTGTGTTGGTTAGGATTGCCAATGACTCGATTGCCAATGTTTTGTATTATTATATTTTGATTTTGTTGCTTATTGTTACTTATTGTTTATAATCTGTCGTTATTTACGAGAATAATCTAATCTGTTGCAACAATCATTAGCTTTTTGCTGGAAAAACTTCGATCACTGATTTTTGGTTATGTCTCTGAAGCTTACAATGTTACATGATTATATGAAATTACTAGTTTTTGTTTTACTTTAATTAGTATTTTACACTAAGATGTAAAATACAAAGAAAGATAAACAAAATATATCATGTATAATTGAAAATTATATATTTTCTATTACAGGATGAATCCTCAATACACATTCCGGTATTCGCACCTACGATAAAGGCTCCAGTTGTTTTATTGGAGAGATGTGATAAAATTTGGGAAACATTACAATTAATAAAGACTGTACAGGTTGAGAAGCCAACAGTGCTAACTGATGATGATTGTGATAAAAATGAAGAGGAAAAAAATAAGGAGGAAGTGCAGCATTTGGATGAGGTTGAACAATCTGAATCACATGTCAAAAATCAACCTAAATTAAGAAGTGATAATACAATGCCACCTTTTAAAGTTTCTGTCGTAAGAACGAAGAAATTATATCCTTGCACTATCTGTGGTATCCAATACTTGGAAAGACGATCCTTAAGAAAGCATTCGGAAAAAGTACATGGAATTGTCATTCCCTTACTTATTCAACGTAAACGTTTGAAACGTAAAACTTTAAACAAAAAGAATTTCGATGGACCCAGTCAAGTTTCTTCTATTAGCAAAGAAAATAACAATTCTGAAAAGGTTTATGATAATAAAAATTCATGTGAAAAGATCACTGCAAAGACAAAACTTACCAACATTGAAACTACTACTGCTTCACCACCTGTTCTATCGGAACGGTTTGTCAAGTGTACATTATGTCAGCAAAAAGTATTATCTTTAAGGAAACATTTAACTAATTATCATAAAATTGGAGGTTCTACAAGTGTAATGGAACAGCTAGAATCATCATTATTGAGTGAGCCTAAAACATCACCTGGAGATAAACGAATTACATTAAAAAATGAACCTCAAGATGGATTTCGCTTAATGGACAATGAAAATGATACTCATAGAACATCCAAAGTCCAAGGAAAAAGAAAATATAAATTGTCTTATCCTAGAAAGAAACGCAAGTTGAATAATGAACGTTATGCATTTGTTCAGAATCCGCCCACTATTGCAAAGGAAGAAATTTTAAATGCTTATACATATAAATGTGACATTTGCTTGGGATTTTATAAAACTGCCCATGGTTTGTACAAACATAAACGCATTCACAAATTACGTGGAGAAACTAAACAAAATTTTCATAAATTCACATGTAGATACTTTAATTCACCATTTAATAAAAACTACAAATCTTCCACAAAGTATGCTAACACTGCAAACAATGCTAACAATAGAATAGATGAAAAGGCTACATTGCAATTAAATAATTCCAAGCGTAATCAAAATAGTTCAATTTCTAATCGAGCTATCCGATACAATGAAAGAATTAACAAAAATAATGAAACTACTTGTATATGTGGAAGATCATTTCGAAATCCTCATACCTTGTTCCTTCATAAAAAGAATTGTGATTTATGTCAAAATGAGGATATAGTAAAGAGCAGTAGGGTCAGTAGTGATAGAGACTCTGGTATTGGCATTAACATAACAATCAAGAAACGAAATGATTCATATGAGATAGTTGGTAAAGATGACGAAGATAAACTCCAAAATTCTAAAACACGTCTCAAAGAAGATACTTCATCTATGTCTCGCACATCTAATTATACCAAAGATTTCACTAAAGCGTCCACTAAACAACAAGTATCAGATACATCTGATTCATCTAAATACAGTAAAGATCATAGTATTTTGAAGTTAGAAGATACAGATGAAGATGTAATCATTGATATTGAAGACGATGTACAAATTGCTCTTGATGAAAATAATACAACAAAACAGATGATTGCACAAGACAACGGCAAGCAGAATTCGTCAAAGTTGGAAAGTAATACAAAAGATGGAAAAATTGAAAAAATTTTCAATGAAGTCAATACATTAAAGCAAATATGTCAAAAGGTTCTCGACATTCGTAAATTCGGAAATATAGAAAATAAGAATAATACTAAAGAATATAACCAAATTAAAAAACCGTGCAAGGAAAATAATAAAGTTAAAAATCAAGAAATACATCAAAACAAACGGGAATTACGATCTACAAATAAACGATATCTTTATTCCAAAATGAAGTCGGAGTATTCTCATAATGAAACAAAGGTTCGTACGGTGCAATTTAAACCAATGATATGTGGATATTGTAAGGAACAATTTAATAATATTAAGTTATATGATAATCATCAATGTACTGTTACAAAAGGCAGATCATTTGATGAATTTTCGCTACAGTTGCGATGTTTTTTTTGTAAAGAAATGCTAAATAGTTACAACGAATTTGATAACCATATGAGATTCAAACATTTTGATCATGGCTATCATTGCTTCCAATGTCCCGAACGATTCACGAGTGATAAAGGACGATTATCCCATTTTCATTTAGACCATAACGATTTGATTTGTAGATTTTGTAATAAAAAAATTACTATTTCCTTAAAGACTCCACATGAAGGTTATCATTTAGGTTTTGGTTATCCTTGCCATAAATGTAAAAAGGCTTACACAAATAATAGGAATCTTTCTTATCATAAATACACGATACATTTTAATGGAGCTGATAACTTGGTAACTTGTACTATATGCTTGAAATCTGTGAAACTCAAAACTTTCCGTGGTCATATGAAATGTCATAAACACAATGCTTGTTATTTTTGTGGCAAAGTATTTTCTGATAGAGTAGGTTTAGAATACCATACCATGATGAATCATGGTACAAATTCCAAGTTAAAATGTAATATCTGTGGTACACGATTTTATACTAAGAAACAGCTTGAAAGACACGAGAAGATTGATGGATGCAATAAAGAGGCATGCAACAGAGAATGAAAAATTAAACTATAACAGAATATTGAGAATATTTTTTTGTTAAAAAAAAAAAATATATATATATATATATGGAGAAAAACGAATCAACAAGGAAAGACTTCTCTCGTGAAATTAGAATAAAATTAGAATCCTCGAAAACTTGTATTTCTCAACTATAACTTTAAACAAAATATGATAGCATAATTTCAAAACAACGTTATGTCGAATTTTGCGAGCTTGCTTCGTACCTCGAACACGAGTTCTATCTGCGAGTCTCTAGGACGCGACATCCGCCGAAGTATCACTGCTTTCGCGCGATTACCAGATCTATCAGGTCATATAGATGCGCATTTAAAGGTTGATTTTATCCTAATGAATTTTTTCCTAATTATGTATAGTTTGTATATGTGTAAAATACGCAATTACGCTATCATACATCGTTCAGAAGTTATAGCAAAAAAAAAGAATGATAATTGATTTTATCCCATAAACATAATGGTTACTAATTTTTAAAAAATACGTATCAAATATGTTCATCCCTTCTGTAAACCCACCAAGTTTCATTAAAAATCTAAGAAGAGGTCTTGTAAGATGAAAACTGCTATCACAATTGAAACTTGTGTTGAATTATTTTTAAGCTAATTACGATATGCAGGAGATGTGTTTCGCGTTAGTAGCTGTTATTCTCAATATGTGTACACACAAATTAAATTTCATAATTTTGTATACAAGTTTTATAGCGAATTCAGTTGGACGCTCTAGTGCACATATTAAAACTATT